CATAGCTTTCAGCATTCCAGCAATAGGCAAACCACCCCAGTACAACAGACTGACAGACGAGTGGTAAGAAAGCTGGTGGTAGGGGGAAGCTGAGAAAAGCCACAGGCAGAAAGAGAGGAGACGAAGAAGAGGAGGTGACGGAGACAAAGACAGAAAAAACAAGCAGTGAGGGGACCCGAGCTCGTGGATGAATATCCAGAAGGAACTGGTGGGGCTCATGTTTGGAGGCCACTCTTCAGAGAGGTCAGAGGCTCTGATGAGAAGCTGAGAGGGGTGGAGGGTTGAGTCTGTGACCTGGGGCATCTATTCTAAGGGTCCCTGAAAGAAGCCAATCCCAAGGAACCTGTTGTGAGATGGGGCGGGGGTGCAGGCGGTGGTTTAGAGTTGCTCACGAATGGTATTATGGTACTACATCAAGAAGACCTAGAGCTAATGTAGTCACCCACCTGCACACCTCTTCTGGGCTCAGCATTCTCAACCTCAGGGAGATTGTCCTGGGACAACCGAGGTGGCAGATGTCCAAGGCCCCCTGGAGGGCTTGGCTTCCCAAGGGGACAGCGCTCTGGTTCTCCGGGCTGCAAGTGCCCTGCATTCTTTGTTTGGACAGGTCCAGGGATAGCAGGATGAAGAGGAAGCACCCGCTGAGGGTGGTGTCTTGGGGTGGCTAAGCCAGCACCGTGCTAAGTCCAGGGTCCATGGCGCTCCCTGGTCACGTTTGTGCTCACAGGGTGGAAGCGGCCTAGGGCAGCAATCACGTCTCCTGATTATGCCCAGCTAACTTAACAAACTCCCGTTGGCTTCAGGACCTATGTAAGCACAAAGTAATAGAAGTGGTCTGAGTTCTTATCTCTCAGCTACTGAGCGGGCTTCCTCATTGCATTTTAACGACCTCCGGCAAACAAAAGCTTTCTAATCTGTGCCAGAGAACACTCCAAAGATCACCCGGACTCTGTGTACCTAGAGAGTGTTCTCTGTTTGTCCATCTGGTCCTGACGCACCAGGCAAGCTTAGTGGCTCTGAGACCAGGGAGACCTGAGCCCCAACATTACACTGACCTTGGACGTGGCTTTTTACCCCCAACTTTTATCTCATCTTGCTCTGCTAAAGAGATGACGTGGTTTGCAAAATGTACATATAAAATTTTATATTCTTAAAATAGAATATCTGCTAGAGTGGAGGCGAGTCTGACTCATAGCGCCCCTGCAGGACAGAAGTAGAACTGCCCCATGGACGGTAAATCTTTATAGAAGAAGACAGCCTCATCTTTCTTCCTCGGAGCCACTTGTGAGTTCAAACTGCCGATCTTTTGGTTAGCAGTCCAATGCTTAACACATTGTACCACCATGGCTCCTCTAAAAATACATCTATTCTATATAATACATCAGACTTCTGGTGTGACACCGTAGGATCAGTACGGACTGTGAACCACAAGATTGGCAGTTCAAACCCACCAGCTACTCCTCGGAAACCCTATACAGGGTTGCTATGAGTTGGAACCGACTCGATGGTAAACAACAACAACAACAACAACATATCATTAATGAATACAGGCAATCCACAACTTACAATGTATTCAAATTACAACAAACCACACTTGTGACTATACTTTATTTGGATGGTTTGTATATTTTTATGGAGGCCTGGTGTGGCGCTGTAGGATAAGCCCTGGGCTGCTAACTAGATTATTGGCAGTTCAAACCCTCAAGGTCACTCCTCAGAAGCCCTATAGATGGCCACTAAGAGTTGGAACCAACTCGATGGCACTTAACAGCAACGTATTTATATATATGTAGATGTTTACTTGTGTTTTTTTGGTAAGGTGGCGGGTCAGAGAAAAAAAGAAAGACCTCCCGTGAGATGGATTGGTGAAGTGGCAGCATCAATGGGCTCAAGCGTAGCAACAATAGTGAGGTTGGCCCAGGACAGAGCAGTGTTTCCTCTGTTGTGCATAGATAGGGTCGCTATGAGTCGGTACCGACTCGATGGCATCTAAAACAACAACACTTGTCTTTTACTGACTATACAAAAGCTTTTGACTGTGTAGATCATGACAAACTATGGATAGCATTGCAAAGAATGGGCATTTTAGAATAATTCATTGTGTTCATGAGGAATCTGTACATAGACCAAGAGGCAGTCATTAGAACAAAACAATAGGATGCTGGATGGTTCACAATCAAGAAAGGTGTACATCAGGGTTGTATTCTTTCTCCATATGTATTCAATTTGTAAGGAGTGCTGGTAGTTTAATGGATTTCAAACTGGACTGCTAACCTCAACGTTAGCCATTCAAGTCCACCAGTAGCCCCAAAGGAGAAAAATGAGGCTTTCTGCTCCTATAACGAAATACCGTCTCAAAACCCTGTTCAGGGTCACTGTAAGTTGGAACTGACTCAGTGACACACAACCACTACCACCACAATGTAATTTGTATGTTGCGCAGATAACCCACAAAGCTGGATTATATGAAGAAGATCAGGATTGGAGGAAGACTCATCAACAACCTGTAATATGCAGATGATACAACCTTGCTTGCTGAAAGTGAAGAGGACTTAAAACATTTACTGATGAAGATCAAAGAGCACAGCCTTCAGTATGGAT